CACACACACACACGCACACACACACACGCTACAACTGACACTTAAAGGTCTTGGCCGTCCTCTACTGGTGAACGTGAGAAGTGTAAAAAAGAGCACAAAACGCGTTTATTTGTTCCTTTCATTCTACTTAAAAAAAACTCCTCATGATCATATATCCTAATTATCTACCATTTAGACCTTTTTGGTATTTTGACTTTTTCAGATTTTCATTTTCTGCAAATAAACGCTCTTGATAACAAAAACTGTATTTTTCTTATCTATCTCTGGAGAAATAATAAATGAAGATGATGAATGCACACAGTTGAATTACAGCCTTTATTAATCATGGAATCATCACAGTGCGCTTTTTTGTTACATCAGCGAGTGACTAAAGTTAACCCAAAGAGAAAAAACAAACCAAGGAAATTAAAACCCCGTTTTGCAAAAGTCATGAAAAAAATAAGGGGAAAGGGAAAAAACAGAAGGGAAGGCGCAAAATTATAAATCAGATCTGTAGCGGAGGCGACTGAACGTGACTTTTCCTTTGAAAGCCACAGATTCTTGTTTTCAAACAGAAAAAAAAACTTTTGAAAATGCACATTTAGTGTATTCTTTCACTCTTTGTTTCGTTGTTTGTCGACTCTGTGCTTATGGGTGCCTTGCTGTATTTTGTGTCCAAGCTGTTTTTTTCAATCAATGAATGCTGCTCGAAAGGCTCAAGAGCACTTGTAATATTTCCACGGCGAAGAAAAAAAAAACAGAAAATAACACGAAAACAAATATCATTAATAATTACGAGTTATTCTTTACAGTGTTTTGATCTTTTTCAACTTCCCTTACAACGTTGTTGTTGATTTTTTTTAAACACGTGTGCCCGCACACGCGCTTCATGTGTGTTGTTCCTGTTTGAATAAGAAGAATATTAATAATAATCCGTTTATTTCTGTTTCTACATACACTGGAGTTCAATGAAAGTTCCTTTTGGAACATACGTAGACATGAATTACAACACAGTCAGCATGTTTAAAAATATATTATTCATATTTCCTACCGGTGGCGAGAGGAGCCTCTTCAACAGAATTGCATTTTATATATTATATTTCTATCTATAAAATGTTCTTTTTGTTTGAAACTACGTCACTTTGTGGGGATGAATGGCGGTTTGATTTCAACCTGCACAACCGTTGTGGGATTTACGGTAATATTCAATGGACAGAACTGCACTGTACTTGCTGTGTTGAGGAATCTGCAACCATTTGTCAAATTTAGGGTCACCAAACAATTTTTTTTTGGGGGGGTGGGGGGGGGGATTTTCCGAAGTCTTATTTTAACTTGCGAATTGTTGTTGCGTAGTGGTGCCCTCCATGGCAACCCAGAGGCAGTGTGATGCAGAAATTCTTCCAACGAACATTTTCAAACCGAAAGCTGAACTTCTTCGAACAGCACACGCGTGCAACAGCTCCCCCTGTTGGGAGATTCACGGACTACCTCTCTTTAAATTAAATCAGACGTGTGTGTTAAATCAATAAATACACTCAAAACGCGAAGAAGAGTTCACTCGCCTCCGAGCCCGCACATCCTCCATTATATTACACACAGCTCATTTTTTAACATTAAAAACACAAATCGTGAACGAACGAAAGAAAGAAAAGAGCACACACTCGTCTCTCCTCTTTCACTCTGCGGCGGCGGCGGCGGCCGGTCGACATCTTATCCACACTTCCTTTTCATCAATCATGTCCACATTTCGTCTTCAACACGTCACCGAATTCTTCTGTCCTGAGCTGTTGCATTTTGCCGACAAATGCGTCTCTCTAAAAGTTACATTCGTTTCCGATCACGGGTGAATAAATGCTCATATACATGGTTTGTTTTTCTTTCTTTCTTTACAGTGTAGGAGTCGACAACCGCAAATGTGCTTTTTTTGTTTGATCAAACACAATGAAGCCATAAAAACTAACAAACAAACAAACAAACAAAAAAATCCCAACAAAAGGAAAAATCAACATTGTTAGCGTGAGATGTGTTTAAATTGACGTAATAGTGGATTTACGAGTCTTGTTTTAAACTGCTCAGCTTTTGAGGAATTTACGGTAGTCCTTCGTTAACCTGTGCAATTTAGGAGGAACTTCCGCTTCGTCTACTTTTGACCTGTGGGGTATTCAATCTAGTTTTAGTGACGCGTTAGCGACTTTTGGGGGGGATATGCACAATGTTTTCCGAACTTTCCTTGAACTTTTTGGGGGATTGGGGTGCGCATAGCCCCCTCACAAAAAATTGTGGGTGTTATGGTTTTATGGAATTCACAGTTATCTTAATTGTGTTAGTCTGAAGGTCTTACTTGAACTTTTTCATGGTCTCATTTTACCTGTGCACCCTCTGAGGCAGCGGCTGCTCTCTCTCCCTGCATTGCAGTGTCTTTCACTGCATGTTTGCTCTGTGGTTGAGGGGAAAGAAATTTCACCAGTGCTGTATGTTGCACAAAGAGCATATTAGACAATAAAGTTGACTTGACTTGACTTGATATGTGGTCATTTTGTCATATTCAACATATATTTTTTTTCTATGGTTTCCTTATTGGCCTCCAACACCTTGGAGGATTTAGAGTTGTGTTGATTTTATCCGTGAATTTTTTTTGAGGGATTTATGTCGTGTTATTTGAACCGGTGACAAATAAGGGCTCGATGGTAGCATGTGCATTTTGGAAGGAACTTTCACTTTTGTTTGATCACCAATGTAACTTTTGGGAGATTTACGCGATTCTTATTTATCATCCACACAAACCTTGCTGGACTTGCAGTCATACGTTAACCTCCGCGCCATTTTTTTTTAGGCCACGCCTAACAACAAATGATGCGCTGTGGAGAACGCTGTCGTGTTTGCACATGAATCCAACCTTTAGCTGAGCTCAACCACATCCTGTCGATGTTTTTAAATCTCATCCTTGTCACTTCCTCTCACTTTTTTCTTTTTCGTCTGCAAGACGCTCATTAATTCCTAACGCACGCATGCACGTACGCCGCGAGTTCACCGCCGTACTTTCCCGACGTCCTCCCCCTTGGCGAGCAAAAAATAAAACACACTTATTGCTGTGTTTCCAACGCTTCTCTCTGGTTCTGGAAAATACATATGTATATGTTTACACACACACACACACACACACATATATATATATATATGTGCATGAATGCATCAGTAACGATTGCTGGCTTTTCACCACTTGCCCTCTCGAGGCGGTGCACAACAACGACGTCACGGTAGAAACGAGAAAGAAATAACAGGAGACACCCGAGAGAAGACGCTTCATTGGCTCCTCGCTGTCCTGCAGTGGCGCACGCACGCACGCACACGCGCAGGCACACCCAGAAAGCGACACCAGTACAGTTCACTGCCAACGAACCGGCCGACCACCCAGAAGGACGGCGAGCGACGTTAGCTCCCCGCACTGGTCGCCGAGATTCACTTGAGTCAAAGCAAGTTCTCTGACAAGCAGACCCCGAGGGACCACCCTCGCAACCCCATCGTTCATTTCCGCGCGGGAAACCATTTGAGCATTTGTTTTGGATTTAGAGTTGAAGGTCTATGGACTCGTGTGCTCTTTGTCCTCACGAGTAAGACGATTTGGCATCGGCGAGAACAAATGTGGCTGACGGGCGACCTTTTTTCCACGACAAGTGCGACTTCTGGCACAGTTGTGTGCAATTCAACTTGAGGAGTGAACTACTGTGCTGCACTAGTAGACCTACAATGCCCAACTCGAAGGCTTGTCTCGAACATTAGTAGACACATTATCAAGTCCGTGGAATAAATGCTGAAACAAGTCCATGTATGAGTACACTCGTTGTCCTCACTGGGAAGACAATTCAGCGCACTATCCGAGTCACTGAGTCTTGTTTTTTTCGACTACTAATGTGATTATTGGCCTACTAGTTTGTCATCTAACCTGGCAAGCAAACTACTGTGCTGCACAAGTAACACTAATCAGCTCTACTAGTATCTCGGTGTACTAAAATGATGGTCATCTTCCCTTTTATGACAACTACATACGGATGGTGAGGTAAAAATGCACTTGGCGAAATCTGCGTGCTACTAATATGATCCACAGTTTCCTCTCAATAGTGGATGTACCTACTCGTATGGTGAAGTTGTCCTCAAGGCATGCTAGCACATTGACGCGCTTCTGGTAATTAAAAAAAAAAAAAAGCTAAAACCATGTGTGGCAGTCACCTCCTAGTTGGGCTTTGTAGTGTTACTTGTGCAGCACAGGTAGTTTACAAGTAAGGTTTAACAGCGTCCTAGTAGGCAAATAGTGGAAGAAAATGTTATTCCACGAGTACAATCAAAATGTCTTTCTATGAGTGAAGAGAAAGAGCATACTAGTCCGTGGACCGAAAGCTGAATATCAAGGAGAGGAAATAAATGCTCAAAGGGATTTCCGTAAGCGTCGAGAGGAGAAACATGCGTCCACCAACAAACACCGGTTGCAGCGCTACCGCGTTAATATTTCATAGCGTCAATTCTAACGGTCTATCGTTTTACGTTTGCGTATGTTTTGGGACATCTTGTTTTACGTGGTGACGTTTCCCGACGGGTCGGACAGGATCCTCCCTCAGCCTGCCTGCGGATCACAAGATGCGCGGTGCCGAGCGGTCATTGGAGACGGTCTTGCGGAGTCGGACGCCCCTCCTGATGGTGGTCAGCATGTCGCCGGCCGATCCTTCCGCCTCCTCGAGGGTGTCGCCGAGCCCCGCGGCGGGCGGCGCTGGGTCATCCGGGAGCGTCGGGAAAGGGAACTGTCCCTCCCCGAGGGCGTGGGCGCCCGCCAGCATCTTTTCCTCTTCGGTCCCGGAGCCGCCACCGAGCCCCGCGGCTCCGTGTTGCTGGGCGTAGACCTCAAGTGCCGCCCCCGAGCCCCAGGCCGTGTTGGGGAGGCTAAGGCGTTTGGGCGACGCCTTCACATAATCGAGCGCGCCCTGGGCGTCATCCGCCATGTAGACGCACTCCTCGCTGCCCACGCGGACCGGAACCCCCGCGGCCCCGGGTGATTGGGAGTCTCCGGGAATGGTGGGCGTCTTGACAGGCACGATGGGGGGTCGGATGGGAATGGGGCCGGCGCTGGAGAGGGTGCGTCTCACGCCCGGTTTGGTGGATGGCGTTCTACGGATGGTGGCGGTGCCCGGGGTCCCGGATCCGCCGCCCGTCCCGGCTCCGGCGGGGAGGACGTGACCTCCGGGTCCCAGGACCCCGCTGGGCAAACCGGCCGTGCTGGCGGGCCGCTTGGTCTGGATCATGCGGCGGTAATTCTGGGCGATGTTGGAGTGGCGAGGGATGGTGGACGACTTGTCAAAGTCCGTCTGGCCGTCCGGCCCTTCGGCGTCGCCGTTCACCGAGTAGCAGTCGTAATCGGACCCTGACACGTGCGACACAAAGAAAAGATTATCCGGGCATCGTTTTCATCCGATGCCCATCGCATGTTTTCATCTACAAAGCGTTTAAGGGAAATATTTTCCCTGGTGCACCTTTTCAGCTGTTTACAATCATTTTGTTTGAACCTCTGCAACCTTTGTAAGGTTTTATGAGTGTCTTGTTTTTTAGCCCACACAATTTCGGGTGTATCTTTGCATTTTATTTTAAAATTTTTAAGTAATATACCGTAGTTCAATTTTAACTTCTGTACATTCGAGGTATTAACATATTTGTATTTAATTCGACGCAACTGTGGTGAGAATCTACTGTAGGTTTATTCATTTATTTATTTAGTTGACTAGAATCATAGGGGATGCAGCACGGCAGTCGACCGGTTAGCACGTCTGCCTCATGGTGCAAAGGTGCAGGGTTCGATCCCGTGCTTAAGTGGGTTTTTTCAGGGTACTCCGGTTTCCTTTCACGTTCCAAAAACATGCATGGCAGGTTGACTGGGCACTTCAAATTTTCCCTCGGTGTGATCGTGAGGGCGGATGGGTGTTTGCCTATGTGTGCCCTGCGATTGGCAGGCAACCAGTTCAGGGTGTCCCCCGCCTACTCCCCGAAGACGGGCAGGAGAGGCTCCGGCAAACCCGAGACCCTCCTGAGGATAAGCGGATTAGAAAATGGATGGAAGGAGTCACAGAGGGGGCTGATCTCTGATGATACGTTGGGGTTTTTGCCAGTAAATCACAGGGCACACGTTGAAAAACGTATGGCCATACTTCATTTTTTGTTCAGTGGTGTGCCGGGAGTTTCTTCGAGCTTAAAATTTGCAGCTCAACTCAGTCTAAGTTGTGAAACCAGGCCATTTTGAACATGAGGCCCACCCTGAGATGGGATGGTGTCCTCTGAGCAAGAAGGTGTGGTGGTCTCGGTGCTGTATCCGCTGGAGTACTGCAGAGAGTCCCTGCTGCTCTTCTGCTGCTCGCTGCTCAGACCTCGAGTCAGAACCATGGCCAGGTCGCTGGCAGCCGGCGACACCTCGTCTCCGTACTGGGAAATATTTTGTTTAAAAAAAAGAAAAAGGAAGCAACGTTCAATTTATCAATTCGAATACCATGAATCCATTCCACCCTCTCAAAATGCAGCAACATCTGTTTTCTTTACATCTTTTGAATTTAAAAAAGCAGTGTCGTATTGCTTAAAAAAATCATCCTAAAAGAGAATGTCAAGAAATATATTTAGATTTGCAGATTTGCACATTTTTGGTGATTTTTTTTTGGGGGGCGGGGGGTGAACATAGCCTCCATCATTCACCGAAAAAACTTACCAAAGCAATAAAAGTAATTGTTTGGCACCATTAGTGGCATCTCGGTGTCAAGGAACTACTTTGACGTGAGTTGAGGAGCAACAGAATGTCAAGAAATATATTTAGATTTGCAGATTTGCACATTTTTGGTGATTTTTTTTGGGGGGGCGGGGGGTGAACATAGCCTCCATCATTCACCGAAAAACTTACCAAAGCAATAAAAGTAATTGTTTGGCACCATTACTGGCATCTCGGTGTCAAGGAACTACTTTGACGTGAGTTGAGGAGCAACATTCGGACAGAATGCGGCAGAAAGCCGACGAGTTTCGTTCACCTTGGCGGCGGACGACATTCTGGGCCTTTGGGCCTCATCGGGGTGGGATGGGCCGGCGTAGCCTTGCGCACCGGGCGAACCCTCGCTTTCCCGCAGCCTATCGAGCGGCGGCTCCTTCCTCCTCTGAGCGACTGCGGCGGTGCCGGCAGAGGCCATGGCAGAGGCCATGGCGGCGGCCACGGGCTGCTCGTAGGAACCTGCTTTGGACCAGTCCTGAAGAATTTGGAGTGTGGTTATTCCAGGAAGTTGCAAGGCGACTCGAACGGTCAATCTTGTCCGCTACGCAGCAGTTTGACGCTCTCGGGGGCGCATGCCGGTAAGGGGGACCGGTCGCATGGTTGGCTCAACAGGTAGGCTCGCTCACATCCTGCTTAGCTTTACAAAGTCCGGGCGGGGGGGCAGACGCCGAGGGTGCTTTCACACAACACAGCAATCTAGCTGCGGTGTGGAGGAATTGAAGGTTTAGCATGTTTGCGGTTGGAGCGAGTAACAAACAAGTGGGCGGGAGTGTCCACTGTCACGAGATGCATCAAAACGTCCCAAGGGCCCATCTATGACATTGAATAAGAAGTCGGCCATTTTGGTTTGAAGAAAGACGCGTCTATCCGAACAGGATGCTAATGAAAGATTCTGAAATTGAACATGAAGTTGGACATTTTGGCCCGCCTAATTCCAGGTCTCAAGTGATTCTGATCGGGGATAGCTAAACATACTGAATGTGTGAATGCACCCTTTGGAAGCAAAAAAATTAATAAATAAATGGAGAAATGAAAGAGTAAAAAAAAAAAAAAAACAAAAGAAAGAAAGCAATCATGACACTTCAAGCCAATGCGGGTGAAGAAACCAAGGCGGGGATGAGCAGGCAACGGGGACGCCAATGGCGGACAAACCTTCCAGGCGGGAACCTTGCCGGATGTGGGAGAAGAGGAGCAGGAGCCGGAGGGCCGGCTAAGGGGTGGGGGCGCGGTGACAGGAAGTGTGACAGAGTGAGGCCTAGGCGAGCCTGAGTGAGAGAGAGCGGGGCGGAAGGTAGCGAAGCACGAGCCAAACTGCGGGACGAGAGACAAGGTCACATGATCATCGGCAAAGGAGGAAGAGCAGGACAGCGGGGGGGGGGGGGAGAAATGGCGCCGGGAGGGGCAAGCAAACGACGGCTTACTGCCGCTCATGCATCACAATGAGACAAAGTAGCGTCTACTTTGTGTTGGCAGGAGATGAGCTAAAGCGGCCCCGCGCCTTTTCCTTCATTGGAACACGTCGACAATTTATTTTAGGTGACGGAACAATCACAAGCACATGATATAAAAACGGTCTGAGGGCATCTTTTCGTGTGGCAGTGTGCGTTATGGAGTACGGCACTTAGCAGTGCTGAGCGAGCACTTAACAATCACAAGCACATGATATAAAAACGGTCTGAGAGCATCTTTTCGTGCGCGGTTCGTGTGGCAGTGCGCGTTATGGAGTACGGCACTTAGCAGTGCTGACTTGGACTTACAGTGGTTGGCGAGTTGCATTCGCTGACCGACTGGCACGTTTCGGAGGCCTCCGATGATGCCGAGCTGGACGACTTCTGCCGCACAAAACACACGCAGACAACAAAAGTTAAAAATAGGAATGTAGACGGTCAAGCCTGCGCAATTGGTTGTGAAGGGAGAGCGAATGACCCCAGCCGCCAACAGCAAAAATGCACGTCGAAGTGACCATACG